AGATGTGTTAGCTAAGTTTTTATTTTAAATAGGTACTACAGCAATAGAAACAAGTGGATTTGAATTTAAATCTAACATAAATCTCCTCAAATTATATTAGAATGTAAGATACTGTACTAATTATGTGTTTTTCCATGCCATTTCCTAACAGCGGAGTGAATAATTGGATTAATGGGGCATAGAGCCTGTGTTAATAAGTATACAAAATCTACTGCATAAAAAGTTGACTCAGGCTGTAGAGAAGTACTCCTGAGCTGTTGCGGAAGCCCATTCTAGGGCCCTGGCCAGGGCACACACACAGCACTTGGAAGTCAGTAACCAAAACCCTATTAGTCCACTGACAACACTTACTGAAAGCACATTTCACTGTACTGGAGTTTTTGTGATGCTTTCTTTTGAGAAGCTTACAGTAAGTTTAAGTGGTGGGTGGGATGATTCCGGTGAGTGATACCTGCAAGAAATAAATGTGAGTTCATTCAGAGAAACAAAGCCAGCCATGCCTTTTGCAAAGAGAATTTATTGTCTTACAGCCAAAGCCACAGTAATGATGTAAGAAACACAAGGATCTTCGAAATAGCTGCCAGCAGGGTTGTGGCATATAGATAGAAGAGTGAGGTAATACAAGCAAGAGGTTTGGAAAGAAAGACTTTTTAAAATTAGTGCATGTTTATAGTACAAAATGATTACATTCCTTATGAGAAGTTAATTCATGTACATAACAATCTTTTCTTTTGGGCAATTTGATTAGATTCTGTGTCAAAACAACTAAAAGGGACAGAAGTATAGCTCAGTAATAGTGTGCCTTGTGTAGCATGGAAAGGAGGAGAGAGAATATTGGTTCTTGGTGTCTGTTAAGGCTGAACTTAGCATTCTTTGTGATTCTGCAATCCACTTCTAAATACAGACACAGCAGAAATATGTGCACATGCTCACCAAAAGATACCTACTAAAATGTTTGCATCAGTTTTATTAGAAATAGCCTCAAACTGAAAATTTAATAGGACACAGAGCCCATGGACTAGAAAAGCAAGTTATGATAAATTTATATATAGCATGATAGAATGATACATAGCAAAAGAGCTTACAGGATATACATCAGTGTGGCTGAAGGTCACAAACATAACATTGGTCTGAAGAGCCAGATACAAGAAGAGTTTATACCCTAAGATTTCATCTGTAAAAGGTTACAGTAATAGACCAAACAGAGCGTGACGCCTCAAGTCAGGAGAGCAGTCTTTGTGGAGGGAATGGTAGAAGGAGGGGGAGGCTTCTGGGGTATTGGTGACATTCTTCATGATCTGGGTCCTGGTCTCACAGGCGTATACGGTTTATGAAAATCACATGCACTTGATGATTAGTCTGCTGCACTGGTGGTGAACCTATGGCATGTGTGCTGCAGTGGGCACACACAGCCCTCTCTGTCATGCAAGCCAAGTGCATGAGTTGTTTTTTCTAAGCTAAAACCTCAGTATTTGGGTCTAATTGTGATGTTGGCCCTTTGTGGTAAATAAATGGGTTTTGGGTTGTAGTTGGGGCACTCATCTCTAAAAGTTTCTTTATTACTGGTCTACTGTATTGCATCAGTAGCACCTCTAATAAAAAAATTTTAAAATGAAATGGGTCAGAAAATTTCTAACAGTGTAGCTATATACAAAGTAATTGTAGTGGGTCTACATTTTATTAGCAGTTTTCTCTAGTCTTACTTGATTTTGTTATTCTGTACAAATTTATTACTTTTACTTATTTCTACAACCATTTCCTTCTCTTTATTCATATACAACAAACGAGGGTATCTTTGCCTTTGCAGTCTTCTGCCGAGTTACATCCAAGCTGTATGGGAAGACTGCGACAGTGTAGCACTTTTCTTGAGTTCTATTTTTGCGGGGATTCCCTGCCTGTTTCTTAGTAAGATCAAGGCCTACAGGAAAGGAGGAAAAGATTCGACAACAAGACTGGACTGAGGTAGGGGCTGGGGATTTAGCTCAGTGGCATAAGCGCCGGCCTTGCAAGCAGGCAGTTGTGAGTTCGATCCCTGGTACCGATAAAAATGAAAAAAAAAAAAAAAGACTGGACTGAGGATGAGTTGAAGAGATTGATGTGTCTGTTGACTGAGCAGGGCAGGTTGCCTTGATGCTGAGAATGTGGAAGAGAGGAGAGCTGGCCCCTCCACAGGGACCCCATAGAAGGCAGCCCTTCTGTGGTCATCTTCATTAGCTCCACTTTGCAGACTAACAGGCCTTCCTTAAGTCTAACAGACTGGGTGCTTTTTTCTCACATACCCTTTTAGTATATGCACTGCCGAGTGCTCAATTCTGCAGCACATACACTAAAATTGGAGATTAGCATGGCATCTACGCAAGGGTGACACGCAAATTCGTGAAGTGTTTCACGTACCATTTGAAAGAACTTTGGAAAAACCATGTATCCCTCATTTACTTTTTAATTGACAGCTGAAGATTTTCAGTGTAAGCTTCAGGTTATTTTTGTAAAAAGGAAGTAGAAAATATTAAATAATTTGTAAAATGAAAGTGAAGATTGACTAAATAGAACTGGTAGCTCCTGATTTGATAATAAAGACCTCGCGAATAAAAGCACACTGGATATCCACACGAAATGAATAAAATTTTAAGCCTGTTTCATGTGGAACATTTTGTAGTTCTGTAGAATATTCCAATTCCAATTAAAAGAATCAACCTCCCTATTATTTGTAGCTTCTTCAGATGCCCTAAAGCCCTCACTTGAGGCTCCAAAACCTGTTTCTAATGGCACATATTACCTATATTAGAATCTGTATATGACAGAAAACAAGAAATGCTAGGTATTTGATCACTGATTTATAAATTCTGTTTGACTTCTTGAAGACTTTTATACTTCAGAAAATGTGCCATAGTATATGGAGTAGCAATATGTAAAAATCAGTCTTTATCTCAGATACAAATTTTAGAAAAGATCCTATGTGAAAGTTAAGAAACTGAATTTGTTTTTGCTTTGAAGTTGTCTGTGGACGTTTATTTCTTAGAAAATCTTTACTTGAAGTTGCTGTGATAGATTTTTGAATAAGTAGCCAAAATAAACAGATGTGCTGGCCTCTTTAGTTCTATGTGTAAATAATCAAGGAAACCAGCTGGTAAAAGGTTGTATTCAACTGTGGATAGAAAGATAAGCATCTATATTATTTATATAAATAATGTCAACTAGAAAAGATAGTATAACTGAGAGTTAAGATTTTTGAAGCATAAATGTGACTTTTCAAAAATGAGTTTTAGAAATGTATCTTTCAAAAATGTGCCTATATAAATATCCAGTGAATTTTAGTTCATTTCACTTTATAAGGTTATGTGGATTTTGGCAATTAAACCTTAGAATTGTCATTTTAAAATGACCTGGTGATTAATCATGTGTATGTATAGTACTACAAAAAGAAATATTTTGGAAACAAAATTCAGTTTATTAGAAGCTTAATTTTTATTATTGAGTGTGGTAATTAATTACGGCTACTGAATAAAATTACAAATTTAATGTTTTTCTGTGTGATTGGGATAAATTTATACTTCAGAACCAAAAATTTAATGTTCTAGATTAATCTCTGTATTTGCCTCAACAATTAATAGGGTAGTCTGATTTCTGTTGTATAATTCCATCTTTAAGTTTCACCCAGCGTGTGCCTAACAGAGTAATGTTCATTTTTTGGACGGTGTTTTTATAGTATAAGATCTCATATTTAAATTTTTACTAAAATGAAACCATTTAAGTGACACAGTTGTACTTAACCATTACCCAAAAAGTACCTAAAATAGAGTAGGGTTTTCTGTAGGATATAAGGCACTAGAGCTTTGTTTCTCAAAATGTTATCTCTCAAATCTTATCCCACTATAGGGGTGCTAGTTAAAATGCAGATTCCTAGGCCTGTCCTCTGATGATTTGCATTTGACCCAGTATGCTGCACAATATCCAAGCATAGTAAAGTGTGAGCACAACTAGTCTTGAACCGTATCACTTCATCATGGAAGATCTGTAACGGACAGAAGCATCTCAGATCCTTAAAGCAGAGTGTAAATAATAAATTGATAAAACAGTGTTCTAGAAAGTCATACCTCCTTCCTTACATCTGGATTATAACTGCCTAATTCACATTTCATTGTCTTCTTGTCATGGCTATGAAATTTTATACTTGTTTTCCTCCAAAATACAAAATATTTTTATCACATAGTACAAACTGCCCTGCAGTGATGTACAGAATACTTATAAAATGAGTTTACCTGAATTGCTGTAGAAGGGGAAGTATGAAATTAACTGCCATGGAAGATCTGTTTAGGGGGCTGGGGATTTAGCTCAGTGGCATAAGCGCCTGCCTTGCAAGCAGGCAGTCATGAGCTCGATCCCCAGTACCGATAAAAAGACAAAAAAAAAAAAAAAAAAGAAGATCTGTTTAGGGGACCAGGGATTTTTAGCTCAGTGGTGTAAGTGCCTGCCTGGCAAGCCTGGGGTCCTGAGTTCAATCCCCAGTAATCCCCCCCCCCAAAAAAAAGATGTTTAGTCATTTTTTCAATATAGATTTCTAGTGATGTGTCAACAAGTATAAATTCTGTATTTTAGTTTAATTGAATAAAACACAACCAGTCCAACCTCTGGTTCACAAGTAAAGTGATTCAGAACGAATCCGTTGGCTCTTGGGCCCTCTCACTGCGTAGGATAAATAGCATACATCTCTCCCGTGTTTTTGCTAAAACGAAGGCTGTCTGTAATCGCACTCAGCACAGACCTTCACACACTGAACTATGTGCCGTTGTCACAGGACACTCACTTTGTCATGGGCCAGACCCTTATCTAGTACATGTATTAAACTGAAGTCTGTAAATAGCATTTATCAATGATCTCTGTAAAAGTGATTCCTTCTTTCCCTTTTCATTATAAACAGAAACTTTATTTCAGAGTAGAAAGTGCATTGTCTGAACTCATCAACACCCTCTCTATCCCTCCCCTCCCCCAATTTGTTGCAGACCAGGATGAAAGAGCAGCTGAGCTCAGCAGGGAGCAGAACGAGAAAACCATCCGGAGCACACAGACTGCGCTCCGCAATTTCCGCGAGTTCCTCATCTCCAAGTACCCTTCTGAAACAAGAGAAATTTATGTCATCCCTTGCAAGGAGTTGGATGCCTACCTTGCCTCTTTCTTTGTTGATGCCAGGCAGAAGGATGGGTCTGAGTATGAACCCAACAGCTTGGCGAATTACCAGTGTGGGCTTGAGCGGTATCTGAAAGAGCACAGGTACGGCTACAGTATCACCAGGGACAAGGAATTCAAGTGTTCACAGGAGGCCCTGAAACAAAAGCAAATTGAACTTCGATGCAAAGGGAAAGGAAATAAGCCACACAAGTCCATGAAACTCACCTTTGCTGATGAGCTCATCCTGCGGAAAAGAGGACTGCTAAGCCGATATAATCCTGAAGGGCTGCTCAACCTCGTCTGGCTCAACAACACGAAAGCCTTCGGGCACTGCACAGGCTTCCATGGATCTACCTTGAAATGGGGTGATATCCGACTTCGGATAACAGAAACAGGGCTGGAGTACTTGGAGTGGATGGGCCAAGACACTGGTGATCTAAATGCCAAAACCAAGAGAGGGGGTACGGACTCTCGGGTGTATGCCACCCAGCACGCCCCACAGACCTGTCCTGTGCAGGACTATAAGGAGTATGCCCAGCGGCGGCCCCCTGCCATGCGCTATGAGGATGCCCCTTTCTACTTGTCCATCAAGCCAGTCGTAAACTTGGCAGCTCTGCATTGGTACAACTGCCAGGCTCTTGGCAAGAACAAGCTGGCCAAGATGGTGAAGACCATGTGTGAGAAGGGTAACATCCCTGGCAGGAAAACCAACTTCAGTGTGTATCAGAGCTGCAGCACCTTGTCGGAGGCCCAGAGCAACCAGCTGGTGCTTATCTGTAACAACCTGAGCCAGCAGGCTGCCCAGTCGGTGGCTGGGCATTCCAACAACAGCAATTTCATTGTCTCCGCTTCCTATGACTCTTCCTCAGACACTGCGTGACCAGGTGGCTTGAGCAAGGCCCTAGTTCGCTTACTGTGTCCCGAGAAACTGTGATTATACACTGCTTCTCGTCCTCTCTCTACCCTCAGTGTTAACTTTATAAAAATATATATTTTTTTCTTTTTACAAATAAGCCAATGGAGATAGTTTAGTATTACTAACATAATATTTATAGGGTTAAGACAAATAAATGTCCTTGTGGGTTATTACATGTAATTACTGTTACAGACTTTATAAAATCCAAATGGTTCTCAGGCAACAGAGTAGAGAAAGAATTCCGTTTTTAAAGTATCAAAGAGGAAACTGAGTCATTGTAGACCCTGTGTCCTCAACTCCTGCTTTTCCTTCCTAATCTGCTTCTCCCTTTTTGTCTCCTTCAGGGGGCTTTCTTTTTAGTTTTTAAAATTTTGCGTTAATCAAGAGGAGATGATCGTAATTTTACTGCTCACACAGAAATATTATTCAGCCAGATCAGAATAGGAAAGTGTGGTATAACCTTTGAGTATTTACATTCTTTTTTGCTTGATTAGTTCTTATGCCTCATGTTTTACATTGTACAAAGATGTAGATGTCTAGCAAACATTTTCTTTTTTGAGGGGAAAAGTAGAAGGAACAATAAAGAGAACTTTGCCATTTTGGGGGAAGATTTGTAATTTTTGCTTTAAAGAACATTGCAGAATCTAACATTGTGGCAAAAAGACTGTTACCTAGTTTAGTTTTACTGTGTGCTTGAACTCCTGTAGAGTATATTATAGCTCCCCGGAAATCAGTGTAAATGTCTTTATCAGAGTCACAAAAAGTTCTAAAACTACCAAAACTTTTAATATGTTCCTTGCTTTAGGTTGTTTATCAAGCATAAAGAGAAGGTAGACAACAAAAAAGTGTTAGTGAAAACCCAAAAGCACTAGTTCACACAACAAAAACACGTCCCCTTTAAAGCTCATATCTTATGAATTATTTATTATTTATTTATTTATTTATAAGTCTTAAACTTCGGGCTCTTTTCCCTAGGGAGATTACTTGAGATCTCTGCAGTTGAGATCAAAGGGGTATTGACACTAATTTTAAGTACTATATATTGGTAACACGTTTAGCTAAATTCAAAGCAATCTTGAAAATATGCAAATATCTTCTACAGGAAATAAAAAGACACTTATCTGAAGTATTCTACAGTTGTAATAATTTTAAAATTGGTTAAACATTTGTAGGAGTTTTCCAAGCTTTTTGTTTTCAAGTCTTGAAGGCTGTGATGAATTACTATACTAGTTAAGATACTTCAAAAATAAAATAAATTTAGAGATTAGAACCATAGCAAAGTGAGCTAGGTGTTCTTTTCTCTGTGATCATTAACATACATAACTCAAAATCTTAATTGGTTTTTCTGGATCTGGGCATTTTATTGGGAGGTATTTATTCTTTAAAGCAAACTCATAATTCCAAACTCATAATTCTTGTTATCTAGGTATGTATGTGGTATTTTATGTGTTAATTTATTGTAGGACCATGAAAAATTGAATTCTCAACTGCTTTGACGTGTAGTTGAGCTGTCCCATGTCAGGGCATTTCTGTTATCACTAAGTCCTAAGTACATGAGACATTCCTCTTTGTGACCTTGTATTTGGCACAGGAGTGGGAAGTCTGCCGTTGACTTTAGGTGGGATAAACTTCATTTCTGTGACTTTTCTTCCATAAAGAAGCATCCAGTTGTGCATCCAAAAATAAGAAAGGATAAGCATAAATTTCTATGTATATTATTTTAATCCTTTCAATGACTTTGAAAAGAAATTATTTCCATTTTATGGAAAGATCATGATAAATCCGATTAGATCATAGCCAAGAAAATAGTAGTCTGGGGGCTGGGGATTTAACCCAGCGGCATAAGCGCCTGCCTCTCAAGCAGGCAGTTGTGAGTTCGATCTCTGGTACCGATAAAAACGAAAAAGGCCAAAAAAAAAAAAAAAAAAAAGAAAATAGTAGTCTGTCATGTTCAGAACTTTTTTCTTCCCTCTTTCAGTATTACCCTATAATTAGTTCCCAATGATTTTAGGCTGGAAATGGGGGCAGTGTCTTTCTGTCTTTGAAGACTGATTAAAAGTAATGCTGAGTGATCTTTCATGGCAACACACTGTGTTCTCTACCCCCCCCCCATTCCCCCAGTTTATTCATTTGAAACTAGAGCCTCTTCTTCCAAGTTCTCTTTGTGAAACCATGCTTTTTAGTACTGGTCCATCTGCGCACGAGGGAGTGTCCTTTAATAGGACTGTTTCTTGCATGTTATGTGAGATATCTCTCATTTTTAAAAGTTTTTATAAAATAAAATGTGATTGTAAATTTTATTTTTAAATAGCATTGTTTCTAAATTCTTAATATGTTGACAGCAAAGTAAATTTGTCTTGAGGGCAAAAGCAGACCTAGAAAATTTTGAATTCCTATTTGTTTACTGGAGTACCAAAATGAAAAATCTGTCCTGCCTAATCATACTATGTTTTCATTTATACTAACTTGAGAATGTGAACTGTTGTTATTTATTTATATTTTGCTGTGATCATTCAAACCTAATAGAAACACTGTGACATTTAGATTCAGAAAAAGTTTTTCTGAAGAATAGTTTGTTTGTTGGTAGAAAATAGCCAACTTATAATACAGTATCTCTTTGAATATTGAATTATAAAAAACCTACAACTAATACTAAGTGATATAAAGATATACCACTGCCAGAGGCTGTACTTATTATTTGAAATTTTAACTTACAAAAAAAAGGTAATAACTTCCCACCATGGCAGGGGTCGCTGCCAGAATCGGATACAGCTTTAAAGTTCCGCAGTCTCTGGGTGTTCACGACACCTCAGAGCTGCCTTTTCAGCCACACATAAACAACCAAGCCACCTGTACAGAGTTCACATATTGCAGTCAATGTAATGCCACATAAGAAATTCTCCAGTTCCTCATAGAACTCTGGAAGTTTTGCATTTTCTACTACAAACACACTGAGCCCATTTGCCAGCATTTGGATGACAATTACATAATTCAGTCTTTCTTCCATATTCATACAAGTGACTGACTCTTACAAACCATAAATGTTAATAATTTTTTTTTTAAAAAATAAGGCATTGGAAAAAGAAATATTCAGGGTATTTGTCCAAGACAATTTATTCTTAAAATTCTGCTAAAATCATTCTATTCTGAATATGGGGCTAGTGTTCTACTGCTGCACTATATCTCCAGTCCTTGAAATATTTATTTATAATTATTTCCCCTATGTTATAATTTTTTCCAGTGTTAAATCATTGCCTGATATTCAGAAAGAATAGTCCAAAATTTTTCTGGCATAGATCAGTCTCTGGTTTTTTGGATCTTTATTGGCTGAAACTTTTATGGTATTAACTTGTCAAAGCTGTGTGGGTTTGCTTCCAGATGCCATGAAATAAGTGACTTCATTGAGATGAAAATTGATAGTCACTTAAGCACATAATTATTAGGCAGCTACTATGTAGATACTCAGAAGAGTACAAAGATGTATAAAACAGTTCCTACTCTCAAATTCATAAAAGATGTTTTTGAGAGCCCAGCAAAATCTCTATGCCAGTACTATTTCACAAACTCCCAAACTTTGTACTCCCCATATTTGCCCATGATTTGTTCAGTGAATGGGTTGACTTGTTGCAGAATACCTAATACTGCTTTGAATATTTTGTGGAGAATCTTCCTTAGAGCCTGCTTTAAAAATCAGTGAGAAGGTGAAGCCATTTCTGTTACCTTCTGCTGTGTTCACATAGGTCCACACAGGCATAGGAATGTGCCGATTTGTCATCGACAGCAATCGTTAAGTACGATATACCCTCTACCAAGTGCTTTTATAAGCTGTTTCACTTAATTTGCACAGTAGTCACTTTAGGTAAAGATCATGAATTCTCTTTTGTAAATGACGGAATCAGCGCAGTCAAATGGGTTACCCATGTCACATTTAATGCATAAAAGCCTCACTACCTGAAGCTAGATCCTGATCCCACTAAGTCTGTCCATTTCTGTTGTATCTAC